TATATTGGTGAAAATAGAGAACAAAGGAAAACAATGGTTATAACAATGAAATGCCGAAACAAATACGAGATTTCCTCTTGTCTTATTATATTTACTGTCATGCATTGTTCACGTCCGAAGTGCCCGAAATATATCAAAGCTGACACTTATGTCAAGGTTGAGCAAGGTCTTAAATTTGGAGGCTATTTTTCTATAAATTATTCTCAATATCTGTATACAAGTATTATTTGCATGATTTTTTTTCGAAGTATTCTAATGCAGTTTTCCGTAGCTAATCGGAACTTTTACACCTTCACCGCACAAATATTTATATGATTGTGATGATACTCGTAATACACCCTAAGACTAAATAGTACAATAGTAAACTTTATCTACTTAGCTCAACAACAATCTGCAGATTTTACGAAGCTGAGGTAGAGGTAGAGGTAACGCCACCTCACATCGTATGTGGTTGTAGCCCACTAATGTATAAACGAAATATCTCCTTTGGAAAGTATCTAGAGTATCTTGAGGAGATACAAACCATCGCTTCTAAGAATATTCTTCATTTCTTGTTGTTAGGGCACATTAACACCTGATGATACCCAAAACCCTCAACAAAAAAATTTAGTATAAAACCTGACATTCCTACATGTACGGTCCATGATGGTTACCATAGAAAACCTGTTTATAAATAATATAAAGCATATTGGCTTTTTCGTCTTCTATTTCTTCGGTAATTTCTAAAACACGCAACAGATTTCGATACGGTTTTCACTATCGTTTTGGGAATTTCTTTTTAAAGGTATATTTGTGTAAATATGTAATATACTGTGTGTAGTATAATAAATCCATCAAATATACATATTTACTAAGGTATCACTAATATTAAACAATACAGAAAGAAAAAAATGTTGCGATTGTCTGTGCTGTACAATTCTACTTAAAATATCTAAATATATATAATTCAAAGGTGACTGACGTAGTGATCTATCAACGCACAGCCTAAACCACTGGACGTATCGGGCTGAAATTTGGCATGCAGGTAGATGTTTTGACGTAGGCATCCCCTAAGAAAGGATTTTGATTAATTCCACCCCTAAGGGGATAAATTAACGCGAGCGAAGCTGAGGGCAAAAGCTAGTTCATATATATAATTAGATAGGACATTTATATTTTAACGGGTACGGGAACCCCTAGCGGAACACTCAGATACAAAATGTATGTCTGTCAGGCAGTAGTTGGACCTCAGCCGCTACATTCGGCCTTACGGCTTTGGTGTGCCACTCTACACTCACCTCTATTTTCATCCTGTGAAGCCAGGTCCTGCCAATAACATTTGGATAGAATGGAAAAAAATTGGAGACGAATATGAGAACATACTACTTATGTTTCAAATTTCATGAATATTGGTCAAGCCGACAAAGAGTGACAGCGTAACAAATAAATAACAGAGCTTGTGCTAATAGTTATTCAAATTAAATACATGTTTTTGTAAGTACATCTATAATCTATATACAAAAAACATAGACGAAAACTAACAGTCATGAATGTTTGTGTAGTGCGAGAATAGAACCCGCGGCCACCAGAAAGTAAGGCGGTATGCTAAAACCGTTAGACCACCGAGGGCATCCGTTTACATGAAAAGAATATATTGAGATAAAATCACAATGATTCGCAATACCTACAAATATTTCAAATAACATCAACATAACAACATAACGCGTATAGCATGAGAATTTACATTTATTTCTGTGTTTCAATGACTAATGTTATTGGATTTTAACTTTCTCAAAACTGTAAAGAATACCCAACATACATTCCTACCTACAGAATTCAAACTATTCATCCCTTTTAGATCATGAATAAGCAAGAGCAAACACAATTATTTCACTTTCTAGAGATCAATACACATATGAAAAATACATGACTGAGCAACTGTTTATTAACTGTGATTTAAATTTAAATTTGAATAAAAAATATGTCAATGATTAAAAATCTAGTCTAATTCATTACAATACATTTATAATATGTATTTTTTATTTTTTTAAATAGCTTTAGTGACAAAGAAGACACATGATATGCCTGTCTGTCTGATCGTTCTCTTTTCACGACTAAACAACAAAACGGATCTTAATAAAGATTAACGTGAACTTAAATTATATCACGAGAATTGGTATAATATGGTTATCCTTAAACTCTATAAAATAGAAGACAAAGTAGTGTAGTAGACATATAGTTATTTAGGTAATACCAAAATAATCTGACAGCCCAACACTTGATGGGCTCGCCTCCTAATAAATTGGTTTCTAGTATTCTAAGCTACATAATTTGACTAATTTAAGAGGTCTTTTTGGTTTGTAGGAAGACTGTACGAAAATGTCTGCATGGATATATCATTCTCACCTAGTTCAGTCGCAACCTGCTTTGTAAGATCTGTGCCAGTTATAGATTCAGAATAAGCAGGTAAATTATAGGAAAAGAGGTATTACACACGTAGATTTATGTTACCGCTTATCAGGCGAGCTGTTAGCTTATTTGTCATTCAATAACATAAAAACCGATAATAATATCCTAGTAAATCAAACTTACATATCGTTATTTAAGAGATCACGCCGGCATAGCTCATAATTGGGACTGAAAAATGATAAAATCCTATTTAGATCCCTTCTAGTAATGGATTTTGCGATAACAGAGAATCATACCACCCCATCAGGGTTTACAGTCGTGAGGATGTACTACATGTAAAGAATATATGTATATGTATAAATGTAATTCATATGACTTGCACTTAAATTGTATTATTCGCGTCAGGTTTTGGACTTTAAAATTTCATCCACGTCTCATCTAAAACTGAACGCGAAGTTCTAAATAAAGAATTCGTACACTTGGCCTGAACACATATTATTAAAATTCTTCCAAATAATACTATTGGTCAATGTTATAAATGTGAAAGTGTTTGTTTCATTTTCAAGATTAAACGGCTAATCGGATTTTAATAAAATTAACTTAAAGTTAGATCATATCATGAGAATGGACATAAGATATATTTTATTCTAAAAAATACCATAATCATATAAAATCACTGGTAACAGTTAGTTAACTATATATTACCATGAACTATGTTTTAAGTATATTATGATTATGCGTCAGTTATGTAGAGCAAGTGTTTAAATTTGTCTCCTTACTAATATTATAAATGCGAAAGTAACTCTGTCTGTCTGTCTCGCTTTCACGCAAAAACTACTGAACCAATTTAAATGAAATTTGGTATGCAGATACTCTAGACTCCGAGGATGGACATAGGCTACTTTTTAATACGAAATAAGGGTTGTAAGGGGTTGAAAGTGGAAATGCAAAGTTATCTTATGCGGTTGAATCATTTAAATGCGTTGTATATGTTATTTGTATAGGCAGCGCTCATGCGAAGTTGCGCGCTCAATTTTATGTCTCCTTAAAAATCAAAATATATAAACGTTTGCTCTGCAATTTTATTTAATTAATACATAAATGTAATCCTGGTACAGGTTATAACTGGTGACCCCACAGTTAGACAAGAACGTAAGAACATATTATTCATATTTCTGAAGAATAATACTATTGATTTTGATTGAGTTGTATAGAATTCTGTATGGAAATTTTTATTTTTGAAGTTAGAATGATGAAACTTTTTATTTTATTTATTATACTCTTATTGCACCAATTACAAAACAAAAAAACAATTAAAATAGAAAATATACTGATACAAAAGGCGGTCTTATAGCTAAGCATTCTCTTTGGGTGGATAGAGAATTTATTGCGTTAGATTACCAAATATTGTTTCATTATTTAGTCAAGGTCACTATTTTACAGACAGACAAAGTCGCGGGAACAGCTAGTATATATATAAAATTCTCGTGTTGCAATGTTAGTTATGCAATATTATTGCAATGTTGTTCATGCTCCTCCGAAACGGCTTGACAGATTTTTATGAAATTTTATATGCATTTTCAGTAGGTCTGGGAATCGGCTACTATATATATTTTTATACCTAAGTGATATGGGGTGTCGACCTATGATATTTCTTTTATTTTTGGACATTTTTTTTTCTTTTTAAAATGTGACATAAAAATACATGCTACCCTACATTTTCACACTTCTTTCACCAACCCCTATTTTTTAAAAGCGATATTAGTACAAAAATTATATTTGAACAGCTACTTACTGAGATTAGGTCGCACATACGAACATACAAACTCAAAAATGTTCTAACGTTAATTATTTTAAGTATATTACAATGATGAAGTCCCCTATTAATAGTTTCTCATATATCTTTACACACGGCATTTTTTATTATATGCTTATGTAGGTGGATTGGCTATAATGACAATAATTACTCAACTATTACAATCAACTTTACACTTCTAAAATAATATTCTTGACAGCAATATTATAGTCGTAGTTGATAGGAAACAATCAAATCTTTATTCTTGCTATTATAGTCAATGATCTATGATTAGTCAAATCAGAAAAACTGAAAATAACTCTACTCTAATTCTTAATTAATCTAAATGTAACGTATCATAATAAATTGCCCATTATATAGCCGTATTTTTAATACAATTGCATTATTCTAAATTATTAGATTTAGGAAAAAAATACTTTATTAACAATTAATAAATTCGATAACTTATGAACGAATTTTTATTCTATCAGACAGGGCCAAAAATATTATTTTAAAAACAGATATTATATAAGTAAGGTAATCTTTATTATTTCAGTGATCAAGTCCGGAACATGAATAATCTTACACAAGAACCAACAAGTTCATGACCTTTACAATGACCGCATAGGCTCACAGGCTTTCGCGCAAACGCAACGTTATGAAACCTGGACTTTACTTTTACTTGAATAGCACTGAGAAAGTCCACCAGTGATTTTGGTGAGTTTTTTCAACGTGCACTGTGCACGAGGGGTGCGGACTCGGTTACTATTTAAGATGCTGCACGAAGCGCCGGCGCACAGTTTATGCCCAACTTTTATACGATGTGGCGGACAGTTGTTTTCTTAGCACTTGTTGCAACGTGCGCTTCGCATCCCGCACAAGATGCCTCCCATACGGACAACGACCTGGATGGATTAAGCGATTGTTTACGAAAAGATTCCACGTCATGTCTGAAGTACAAATTCTTCTCCTTCGTCGACAAAATGCTCGGACAGAAGGACTCCTTCGCTTTATCTGATGGTGTCACCGTCGTGAGAGCTACGGATGTCCCAACTGAGAATGGAGCACCTAGATCCTTGGATCCCGTTTCGAGATTGAAGAGATACTTCGAGACTCATTCATTACGCGTTGAAGTGAAAGGTTCGGATGTGATTGACGCGGTTTCGAGTGCTGGCCGAGCTTTGGAAGACACAGTAACATCGATTGCTGATGATGATGCGTCCGAAGAAGGCAGAGGGAAGAAGAAGAAGGCTGCTAAGATGCTGGGACCGTTGATAGCTGCGTTGGCTATGAAAATGATGGCGTTGATACCTTTGGCCATTGGTGCGATTGCTTTAATTGCTGGAAAGGCGTTGCTGATTGGTAAACTAGCGTTAGTGCTATCGGCGATTATTGGGCTGAAGAAGCTGTTATCTCAACAAAAACATGTGACATATGAAGTCGTAGCTCATCCTCATCACTCGTCCAGTCATGTGTCGAGTCATGACTATGGTGGTACCAGCGGCTATGGAGGCGATTCAGGCGGATATAGCTCTAGCGGCAGTGGTGGGTCAAGCCACGGTGGATGGGGAAGGTCGATAGAAGCTCAAAGCTTAGCGTACTCCGCGCAAAAACCTCAGTAAACCACGGCCTAGATGTACGTCCTCTTTACGTCGATTTCTCCGTAACATCCGAGTGATTGTTTATGTATTATTTATTTGTCTGTATGAGTGAGTGATGAACGTTTGTATTCATTTGACTGAATTGCTGTTAAGTATAATTTTGTACGCCATCTCAGCTCAATTTCATAGTCATTATTTATTTTCTAGTAAACCTTATAGGTAATCGTGTAACTATTATTATAGTTTATGTACTATGTATTATGCGTATTATTATTTTATGATTCAATGAATCTCTGTATATAAAATATATTATAAGTACATCCATGTAATTTTATAAGATTTACACAAAATATGTATGAGATATTATTACAAGTACCTGGCTTTAATATTTTTAAGTATTACATTAGTTATGTAGTTATTTTACGTATATATTTAATGTATTATTTATCTATTTTAATATTATATAAACTTCATTATTATTGCCCATGGGTATACAGTATTATGTCAAATTTATTATATAACATATATATTTATTACATTTTAAAATACTATATAGAAATAGAAATTGGTACAGTTAATGTACATATGAATAAATAAACGATTAATATTCAATAAAAAATAAGATATGCGATGCGTTTTATTTATTAATATTTTCGAAACAAATTTAATATAGTATAATAATAGTAATATGTTAATCTGAATTATATTAATAATTATTATGTTATATAAAAACAATCCTGCGTATAATAAAAAGAGCATATGGGAACAAATTATGTCCATTGATTTACTTCTAAATCGTGATACACAGGGTGTTAATATCGTCAAAATCTTTTCTTGTTACCAACCGTAACGGTTCCCAAGATCATAATAGATTTTAACGAAGCTGTCTTATCATTCACACGTACATATTTAATTGGTGTAGTAAAAGTGATAAGAGAAAAGCGGATACTGTCCGTAGGTCGAAATCATTACAAAATAATGATAGGAATACACAATATCACGTCCAGTTTCATATAAATTGTAGTCTAGTTTCATGTAACATTTCTAATTCGTTACTAAGAATATATAAGAAATGGTGGCGGACGTCCGTTTAAAATACTGACTTTCCGTTGAGTGTAACCTGTACATTAGGATTGCTAACTGATTGAAATGAAATTTATAAGTAGACAAGGTCTGCCTCATTGTACATGATTACCAGCATTATAAATATATTATCAGGTATATTAAGTATATTAGCAGGTATAAATATTACTCCTAATTGTTTTCAAATATATTATATATTGATATAATATTTATATACATCCATACATAAATAATCGACAGAGATTTCTTACTCTAGTTATATATACAATTATATTTAACCACTGGATGTATTAATAAAAAATAAATGTAAAAAGTATTTAGTAATAAATTTCATTTTCTAATAAAGCTCTTATTTTGGTATACCTTTTTAATTCGCACAATAAATAAATAAATAGGTAAATATTACAAATTAACTTTATTGCATATGTAAATTATGCTTTAGAATTCAAACACTGCCTGTTGTCTAAAGATTGAGATATTTTTATCTATTTATATTTAATACGTTAGATTCAAACATATTCATCGAAATATGAGTTCGTTTACTACAACATCGATAATTGACAATGCCTCTAAATAACTTATCGGGGTTAAAAGAAGTGACGCTATGTATTACTTTATTAATTTTTAACTTGTTCAATAAAATTACGTAATTATAGGAATGTGTAAATGCCTACACTCTCTATAAAAAAAACGCTTCCCTTTATTCTTTTCTATAACATTATAAGCTTATGACTTGTACAGTCATCCCTGTAGCTTTCCTTGTATCCAGGTCGGACGTTTGCCCTCTAGAGAAAGGTATGACGGGTGAAATCATTAGATCAGTCACGTTTTCAACATTGCATTAAAAGTAAAATTATACATACATAGCTCTGTTTTGGGCAACATGTATGAGGTTAATAGACGTAATTGTTAATGTTGCAATCGTATTAATAATTCTTATTTCTTACAAAATAAACCTCAGTTTCCAAGGAAAATAAATGTGGATATATATTTCTTATTATAAAAAAAATTTGAAATTTGTTCTGTTTCGCCTTGGCCACCCTTACGACTTATCTACGCTTATATAGTAAGAATAAGGATAAGCTAACTGATCTGTCTTCATTTTCATCCTATAAATCTTTACTGTTAACCAACATCCGTACACCATAGCACAGACGAATACACCATCTATTATCATTCATAAAAACCTTAACTATTTATGGTGTATCATGATACGGATGTACATCTATTTCGATTCTATCCCATAACCTCATTTCTATATGCAAACTAGCCATTTTTACATTTCTTCTCAAAGATCTTCCATGGAACCCAGTAATTAGTCGCATCTGTATCGAGTACCTGAGAACCAGATACAATTAGAACGTGGAAAATAAAGTTGTTCTTTAACTACCCAAGTTATTCTTTATCTATTGACAAACTCGATAGTTTAGCAGTTTCGTACACTTCCTCACCTTTCAATGTTCGGAGGTTCGATTCAGGATAGAATAGAAAAAAATATAAACGTTTAAGTTTATGTATATTTGTTTGCATTGGCGTGCATAGTACTACTACTGGCAGAATCTTAGTACTACTATGTAATATTATGTTATCTGTGGTACTACATACTGATAGTACTAAGATTTTTATTTAGTTAGATGTGTTTACAAAAAAGAAATTTTATAATCTTTAACGGTTGTCTACTATTTTTTTACCCTTTAATACAAAACTCAACAACTAAATTCAACTTTATTTACATATATTTACGGATTTTTCTAGAAGGCTGCTTGTCAAAGACAATGTACATATTACATAATTTTAAACAGCGTGAGTTGTCGAATGTCCAACAATAGCTGATCACTTCAGTCTATGAAAAGTAATTATTATATTATTTAGACTCCCGAGGCATATAATTTAGAATATGTCTTCAGTTAGTTCAATAGTACCCACAAATATTTAAAGTGAAGAAAGACGACGTCCACTAATTAGACTATTTTCTTTTACCAAAAATGCAGTAGCATATGCTGGTGTTATAGGTATCCTTGTACAAGATTATTTGAAAATAATAAGAGCTGATTTTCTGGTCAGTACTTCTTAGTTCGACAGCACTTCGAATTTATGGTAGATTTGACATATTAAAAGAGTCACATACTCTTTTATCTATAAACCTACATGAACAAACTTAATTTTATTGGGTATGATTGATTTCAAATATTCATATCAACATATAACGCCGACCCCAAATAAATGAGATAGGGAAGATGCAGATGATGACAATGATTTCAAGTACCTTTATTGCCTAATACCTGAAAAATATTCATCTATACGAACTAGTAGGTAAGCATACGATCTTAGTAACTATATATTAGCGCATACAAGTACATCTTTTCATTTTGATAAACTGTTGTAAAGCAACGAAATAAAAATAACAAACTTGATATTAAATCCCAATACTGTGCTGTAACAGTGCCGTAAATAATTACAAGATAAGATTCAACAAAACGTATAAAACAAATTAAGTTACGCCATCTCTGAAAAGGTAATAAAACGGAGCGAGTTTGAGTCACCGTACCGTTGTAACCTTGACAAAGAAAACGTAATTCATTCAACACAAAAAGTAAAAAAAGGGTTGTGCTGCAATCAACTTCTGTTGCGTAGATTGTGGATCATGTTTGTTTTTGTTTTAGCCACTCTCGATAACAATGAACACTATTTGCGTAGGTTTATTATTTTTATTGTGTTGAAATATCCATATGCTTTTGTATTTAAACAGTTCTTAGAGAATTTTTAATGTCTCTTAAATCCTTAAAAATACTAGATTGTTTTCGGAAATGTTATCAAACATATTATTTTCACAATCTCATACGAGTGAACCCGGATTCTCAGATATCTTTAATTCCCAATTCCCAGTTTTACAAAAACTTAAAAAAAAAGCGGCTATCCATTCATTCATAAGTTGCGCCATCTTACAGACACCAGACGAAATAAAACAACATGAGTTCAAGGCTTTACAACCTTCTGATTACAAGTAATACTGTACGAGTAACTTTGACAAAGTATCTTTATAACTAGAATAGAAAAATCCAAATTCAATACAAGAGAAAATTTTCAATTTTTAATATGCCAGGTATTTGTTTAATTTTTCTAAAAAATATTGGACTATACTTTCATATTAAAATACATTTTTCGTTTCCGTGCGTGTATAAAAGAATAAAAAAAAAGAATATTAGGTAACTTTACCGAGTACAGAGATTAATACGATAGTAATGTTATATTACGCGGTGAATAAAGCGGTCAGATTTTATTATGAAAATAAAGAAATAAAACGATTTGAGTTCAATGACTGCATACTATCGTGCTGTAGCGTAAAACACACCTTGAACTCTTGCTTTATTTTGTAAACAAACTTGGCCGTGAATGTAGTTTGCTATACTAAACATAGATGTCGCTGATAGTTCCATGTTAAGTCGAGGAAATGATATTTATTAAGAAGTTCTATTTTCGAAGTGTAGGTGGCTATAGTAATATTTGAACGATTAAAAAATAAAAAATAATACATGGTTTTCGAAAATATGTAAAATAAATAAATAATTGTAATTAATAATAATCATAATATATATCAAACTGACACTAACGTTTCATGGTTGCAAAGTCATCACCAAATTTCTCACATTGTTTAGATTCGATTGTAACAAAATATGACTATAATTTTTGATAATGTATATTTCCCAGTTTCATGTCAGGTTCGTTGCAGGTAAGTCCTGTTGCCGGTATAGTATGTTTATTTTATTTGATTGAATATTACAGGCTGTTTTAATCAAACTATATATATTTATATATAAAACTATGGCAAATAAGCTGATGGCAAGTGGCAATCGTAGTTATATACATGAACATTATTACTGAGAACTCATCATCATGTAGACACTCCTCAAGCAATGTCACTACTCCTAGAGCTGACGTGAAATGTCTCCATACCCCTATTTTCTTAATGATTTCTTAAGTTTAATACGCACTCTCTCTTTGAAAATACTTAAAAATGGATATTTCGAGCATCCTACTTTTTTAATAGAAACATTTTCACTATTCACCATAAAAATATATTTATGGCTTATAGAGAAAACGGCGCCAAAGGACAATACGGTGAGCGATATAAATTTATACAAATAGCAACTTAGTCTGAATTTTATTAAATATTTTTTTGTAAAAGAAGTCTACTGAAGCACTTTAGGATAGATGGTAAGGACGATCAAAAAAAAAATTATGGTTGTGTGAAAGATGATATGAATAAAAGGAGAGATGCTCAGATATG